ATAAGAAACAAAAAATATCCCTTTTTAAAGTTGAAATGAATACTGCATTTATAGAAACCCTAGAGAGTCAACTAAACATTAATTGAAGCAGTTAACTTCAGCAAAGTAACTGGACATAAAATAAATCCATATAAGTCATCAAGATTTCTTATATTAGCAAGAAAATCCAACTGAAAGACCAGAAAGAAGATGCATTTAAAAGAACAGCAGAATGTATAATATACTTGGAAGTCTATTTACCAAGATCCCTTTATAGAGCTAGAAAAAAATGAAAATTATAAGGAGGAGCAAAAGGTTAAAAATCACAAGGGTAATAATGAAAAAAAAAAGGCAGGAAGGAAAGGGTGGGACAGCCTATCAGTACCAGATCTCAAAATGAACAACAAAGCAAACAACATAAAATGATTTAGTATTGGTTAAAAAGTAGATTATGTGTACAACATACGGAAGCCAACAGTAGCCTGTTCAATATACTCAAAGACCCCACTAGTTGATAAAAATTACTGAAATAACCAGAAAGTAGTTTAGCAGGAATTATAAAGCAACATCTCATATCTTATGCCAAGACAAGCTCTTTTATCATGCCCTGCCAATTTTTTCCTCAAAAAACATTACGAGATCATTTAGATACATCAGTATCTCCAGTAGATAAATGCCACCATGCACTTTTCCCCCCCATTCTCAAAATAATTAAATGGCTTTATAATCTCATCAGTCTGGATGTTCCCTCCAATGATGCAGGTTGCAACCCGACCGTGCCTACCCATCCTCTTTCTACATTTTCCTTCACCACAAAAGAAAATCTGTGAATCCAGAAAGGCCATGAAACATTTTTCCATGTGGTACTTAAAAATAGTGGTGCATTGTGTGTGTGTGTGTGGCAGGGGGGAGTGAGGGAGCAGGGGAAATGTCTCAGAAATGCCTTAGGGTCATGCACTCAAATTATTAGAATGCCAGTGGACAGAAGAAATTTGCTTTTGTTTTACCTTTTCTGTGAGTATCTGATAGTAATGACTGACATGTCCAATCCCTAAAAGCCATGGTTGCTCAACAAACAATTCAAGGCAACTTCAACTGAATTTCCCTTGTGGGATCTTCATCTAGGTGCCATCTGCTGACTGCTGGTGCCCCACAGTTCTGTCCTGAGCTCTCTTCTCTTTTTTCTCTCTACCATTTCTACTTATTTCACTTAGTGATCTTATCAGTTCCCCTAGATTCAATTATCACATCTATGCTGCTGATTCTGAAATCTCCTTATCATCCCTAACCTTTCTACTAACCTCCAGTTTCTCACCTTTAATGATCTATTAACACCTTGAATTGGTTGCCTTGTAGATATCTTAAACTTAACATATCCAAAACTAAACTTAATATCTTTTAAGCAAACTCCTCTCAGTTTCCTAGGCTGATGACCTAAATGTCATACTTGACTCCTCACTCTCCCTCACCATCCCCTCCCCCATTCAAACTGTTACCAAGGCCTACCTGTCAGTTTCATCATCATAATATTTTTCATATAACCCTTTCTCTCTTCTGACACTCCCACCATCATGATATAGGCTCTTATCCCCTCACATCTGGACAATTGCAATAACCTGCTAGTTGTTCTTCCTGCCCCAAGTCTCTCCCCACTGGAGTCCATCCTCCACTCAGCTGTTAAAGTGATCTTCCTAAAGGATAAGCCTGATCATATTACACCCTACTCTGCCCCACTCAATAAACTCCAGGGTTGCTCTATCACCTCCAGAAATACGAAATGCTCTGTTCTGCTTTTAAAGCTGTTCATAATTTGCCCTCCCCTCTACATTTCTAGTATTCTTTCACTGCAAATCCCATCCCACTTGATCCTCCATCACCTTTACGTTTGATCCTTCATCTTCTGAGTAGGCATTTTCACTGACTGTCTCGTATACCTGGAATGCTCTCTTTCCTCATCTCTGCCTTATGGCTTCCCTGGATTTTTTCAAACCACAGCTAAAAGGCTGCCTTCTACAGGAAGCCTTTCCTTATTCCCCTTAATTCTAGTGCCTTTTCTCTGTTAATTATTTCCAGTTTATCTTATATGTATTTTGCCTGTACAAAGCTGTTTGCATATTGTCTCCCCCTATTCCTTGAAAACAGCGACTATCTTTTGCATTTCTTAGTATCCCCAAGTGCTTAGTGCAGTTCCTGGCACATAGTAGGTGCTTAATAAATGTTTATTGACTGTCTTGTAGTATGGTAATGATCCTCCTTAGTTCTCCTATTCAAAGTCTAGTAGTCCATATCCTAATTTCTCTAGTCTTCTTCCTATCACTACAATGGCAGAGGCCTGTAGACTATGGGACTCCTTGAAAATTCTGTTGATAAAGTTTTATCAGTTAGTATGTGGTCTTCTCCATGTCTGAAAGAGTCATGTTATGAGACTATTCTCAAAAATTTTAAGAGTGTTTGATGTGCATTGTGTGTGTTCTATTTGGGCACATTCTACATCCCAGGACAGACAGGCATAATCTCTCTCACTGATTTTTTTGTCTATTTATCAGGCACTGGAGAATTCCAGAGAAAACTTTTGTGGATCCACATCAAACTTGGAAGATTCAATGCTTCCTCAATACTCCCTGCCAGCCCTGTACTCTATCTTCCTGTAAATGACTACATGGCTTTTCAGATAATGAGCTCCAGGATGTTTATGTACTGTGTCAGCATGTTTATGTACTAAGGCAAAGGTTTTTGTCTGTTAATATATTTCCAGTATTTTGAACAAACTGGAGATGGTCCCAAACATAATCCCTTAGGGCAAGGATACAGTGTCCACTTTCATGCTGATGTGTATTTCTTCCATAGTCAACTTGAAACTCACTAAAATATTATCCAATTATGGGTAATACTCATTCAGTCCACAGAAGCTTATCACTTATATTGCTGTTAAAGTAAATATGTGTATGTATATGTACATATATAAATATATGTGTATATACATACATGTATGTGCATATACATGTAATATATACACATATATGTGTAAATGTATGTGTTTATGAATAGCTGTATTCTGGGACGAAGGAAGGGAGGGCATACTGATCCAAGTTTCCAGCAGGTTTGGCTTAGACAGTAATTTCCAAGTTTAGGGTATGTATGAATTGGAGTACAAGCCCTCCTAATTTGGCAGCAAATTTCGTTCACCACCTCTGAAAATAGTGAACTCAAACTTTAGGTGGTTGCTACAAACTATCCCTTCCACACAATTCAGTTGTGAGGGCGGCATAACCAGTGGATGAATTGCTTCTTCTATCGCGAGTCACAGAATGTTGGCTGCTCAGTCACTCAGGTTGCTTCTCGGAGCTGGCTTCTCCCTGGGTTCAGCTGCTGGGGTCACCAGCAGACTCTGATTCGAGTTGCGGGACCTCTGATGGTTCTTCAGACCTTGTGAACTTCGCAAGGTTGTAACCTGTTCTGTTCCACTTCCAATATTTGTTCATTTCATTTCAGGAAAGCAGACATACAACATATAAGAAGCAATAGCACTACAGGTTGATGGCCATATGGGAACTGAGTGGGAGAGGCTACCCACCTGGAAACTCATATCACTTTTTGTCTTGCTTACCATTCTGAAAAGAGAGACAGAGAGAGATTTTTGTTTGTTCCATCTTTTCATATGAGTTTGTGTGTTGAGAAGTCTGGGAACTGCCACAGCTGCCCATGATTCAGTCCCCTGGGGCCTGTTCCAGGTTCACTGAAGCCTGGTCTTTGTCTGTGTGCTCACGCTGAACTGCGTTCTTTTCCCAGCTGGGTGCAATAGACCTTTCCAATCAACCATCCAGGTCGTCTTGGGCTGGAAATTTGTTTCACTCTGTCTTTTTGTGGGTTCTGCTGCTCTAGAATTTGTTTAGAGCCATTTTTTACAGGTATTTGGAGGGGTTTGGGGGAGAGCTCAAGCAAGTCACTGCTTTTACTCTGCCATCTTGGCTCTGCCCTACCCCCTCACATAATATTTTGACCTACTTGCTGTATCCTAGGATTAGCTTTCCATCATCTTTTTACAGGCTTTTCCCCTAGCTTGGAAAACACATCCTTATTTTCTGTCTCTTAATATCCTTAGTTTTCTACATGACCATTCAAAAACATGCTAAAAATCACTCAGAGTAAGAGGGCTACAAATCAAAACAACTCTAACATTGCAAATTGGCAGAACTGAAGAAGAAAATAGTCAATGCTGGAGAGGCCTTGGAAACATAGGTACAGTAGTATACTATTGGTGCAGATGTGAATTAGTCCTGCATTCTTAGATATTTTGGAATCGTGGAAGAAAAGTGACAGATGACAGAAACTTTAGATATGAAGTATAAGGGATAAGGCAGCTCATGACAGGTACTTCAGTGTACCAAAGTGGTTGATTCACACTCTATCTCCTTTTATAATAGCTGAAAATAAATACAATTATTCTATTCCAACTTTAATCTTCTTACATGACTCAGTTTACCCTCAGAGTTGTCATAGCTCCTTGTTTACTTCTCTAGATTTCTTCCGATATGTCAATAATTTTCTTTTCTGTTTTTGTTCTTAACAAAGACAAAGTTTAGTACTCTTTTTGGTTGGTTCCTTTTTCCAGGATAATTAACTCAGCTATTAAATATGTTTCACCTGTAATTGTTCTTTACTTTGCAAATACAATGCATCTTAGACTGTGACCTTTGGAAGATGACAGTTATTAAATGTTTAAGATACATGAGATTTCAGTTCAAACAATTCAAAGAATCATATAACAAACAAGAAAAACAAATTCCTGTACACATACCTACATTCTGCCATTATTCCATGAATACATTTCCTTATTCATTATCCAAGTTACTTCAACTTTATCCAAATGCCCTTAAGTTTTTCACTTCCTTTTTCCTTTTAGTCAAGTTTAATTCTTTTGTTTGACTTCAAACAACATTACATTCTTCTTATGCTCTTATTAAGCTCTACAAATGAATCACATGGCCACTTTTGGTTCAGAAAGATTTCACTTTACCCAGTTTCCCTATAAATCTGCCAGCCCTCTCCAACACATTCTTTGTTTCTCTTACTCTGTCTTTCAGACATTTTCTTCATCTTTCTCACTAAAATAATCCTTAAAATAAGAGACAATTATACTTCTGAGACTAAAGTGGCTCATCCTTAAACTTCATCAAGTACCATTGAGAGAGAGAGAGACCTAGAGATTCTAACAACCTTAAGCATCTGCACCATCAGAGAAAGGGTGACCAGATGCTTCCCATCAAGGTACTCATTTTTGTTGCCTCAATTTCAACTGGTAAGTCAAAATGAAAACTTCAATAGCTTCATTCATGTTTTCAAACTAATTTTAAGGGAATATTTAAAAGTCATGAAGGCAAACAAAGTTACAATAAAATTAGTTAAGTGTTAAATGAAGTCTATCTGCAACTTAGTTCAGTAAGGACAGAAGTACAAGGTAGAATAGAAGTATCAGAAAATCACTTTAATTTTGATCTTGAATTTATTAAAACCAGAATTGGAAGTCAGCAAAATTTTTCATTTTGTTTTCTGGAAACGTTTTGTTTACTAACATTTTTCTATTTGTTTTGGAAAAATTCCTAATGAAAAACCAATGTGTTTTGAGATCAAAGATTAAAGTCTGCTTAACATAGAAAGGGAAAAAATAATTGAATGAATTCACACCATATCCTTTTATCTACACTTTGGTTATAAAAGTAAATGTTAGTTTTTACAAGTTACATTTTGGTCAAAGATATTTTTCATGTATTAATTGAATTTTGTTCTATGATTTCTCTTGTAAAATTCAACTATTTTATGAAATTCAACATGTGTGTATCTATACACATACATGTATACATATATATATGTACATATACATATACATATAGTCACTAAGAACCCTTCAATAATATTAACAAATTATCCCTTTTAAGGGGAAATAGAATTTAATAATTACCTTTTTCTTGTGGAAGTTAGCTAGGACATTTCAAATATATTGTACACTAATAAGATCCAGATTCCAGGGGCAATACATTTAATTAAAATATGAACTTTTGTAAAACTGATCACTAGATATGTGCCTCCAGTATTTCAGCATTTTCAATTTTTATGTCATTTTGTTAATATATTGCCATTAGGTGCTGAGTTTGCTTGATTTCCATCCCTTGTTTATATAATGCTAAATAAACTTGGCTGATGTAATTTCTTACTTATCCAGGACATTCCCCCATCCCCACTCCCATTCAAACTTTGCATACTTTGATTTATCTTAAGGATGGAATAACAAAGTCATGTTTTAAAGTTAGCCTAGTATTTCTGAATATTTTTTCATTCTGGACATTATTGAATAGAATTTTTTAAGACACTTGTATATTGCAATTAAAATTAAGTTGGCTATAATGTTGTCAAAGAACTATGAAACTCCTGAAAAAAAAACCCACTAGCAAATAAGTATTCTGGAAAATATTTTGGGTGCCATTAAATAGTAGGAATTTTTGTCTCATAGAAAATTTAAAATTTATGTCATAATTAGGGCATAAATAGGTAAATAAATAATCAGGGATACGGTTTTAAGAATTTTTTAAATGATTGGAGATCAAGCGGGGAGGAACATCCTAGACCTAGACAAAGAAAAAATAACTTGTATATTTTACCTTTCTTTTTAGCATTGGCAGGACCATGGGGTACTATGTGTGCTGGAAAAAATGAAAATACTATCAGAGGCTGTGATAAGTATGGCTGTGGAAACTTTGGTGCTTCTAGGTATGGTCTATTTAACTTATGCCAGGAGTTGTCCTCAGTCTTCTTTGAGGTCCATCTTATTTATCTCTCTTGTGACATAGTAATGGGATGATAAGAGAGACTGCATGGTATAGTGGGGAGCTGTCCTTGGAGTCAGGAAAACCCGAGTGTGAGTCTCACCTCATATATATATATACATACACATATATACACATACATATATATTATATAATATATATGTGTATATATACACATATATATGTATATATACACACATATATGTATATACATACATATATTATATAATATATATTATATATATACACACACATATATGTATATACATACATATATATATATATACAGTCCAACCTGGGCATTTTAACTTAATCTTTGAGTGACTCCCAAATAAATCTCTAATACTGTACATTGCAAAAGTTTCACTTATGCCAATGAAATTACAGGTTGTGAATAAAGAAAAAATAAAACTCTAAATTAAGACTTAGAGATAAGTAGTTATACTATTGTTCCTGAGGTATATTGCAAGAAACAATTCCCAGATGGAATACAAAATGGTCATCTGGCCTGGGAAGAGGGAGGAGAAGGACGGAGAAGATAATGCAGAGAAACATTTGAGCTGAAACTTGTTTATTATCCATTTGCCTTCTTTAGTGCAGTATAGAATACCTAGGATTTAGCACTAGTGATAGAAAAAATCCCTCTATATGAAGTTTTTGATCATATTAGAATTTTTTATTTCTGGGAATACATACAGAATTTGTGATTTATTTTTTCATATGTAACACTTGGTACAGGAACTCTCTCTATTGAGGTAGATTAATATATCTCTGACTCAGTAGTTAAGTCCTGGAAAGCTGCCTGGGGTACACACAAATAAATTATTTTACCCAGGGTCACATAGATAGTAAAGCAAAATTTTCACAATTTTATCTACTATGCCTCAGTGATATATATTATGCGCAAGAAAATATAAGATGAGCAGCTTAGAAACCCTAGCTCTCTTCGAGGCTCCCCACCTATATGAAGCTTTTCCAGATTCCTCCTGTGGTTAGTATTTCCCATATAATCACTTGGTAGTTATTTGATAATGATTCTAAATTTATTTATGAGTGTATTTTATAACTATCTTATATTTACTTGTGCTCTTGTGCCCCTCTAATCCCCTAGTAGAATGTAAGCTGTTGGAAGAGAAGAACTCTCTCATTTTTGTATTGGTATACTCAGCATGCAGCACAGTACCTGGTATATACTAGATATTTAAATATTTGTCATTCAATGGATTGATGAACTTCATGTAGGTCAGAAGAGTATCTCAACCCTTTCAATCAATAACACTTTAGAGTGGACCTTTTTTTGGCATCCAGCCATCAAAATGACAAGTTATGAGTTTATACATACCCTCTAACCTTATCTACAATATAGTAAAATTTCATTTACCTGGTTGCCTCACTTATTGAGAATAGAATTAAAAATCAGGAAGTAAGGGGCAGCAAGGTGGCACAGTAGGTAGAACACCACCCCTGAAGTCAGGAGGACTTGAGTTCAAAGCCAGCCTTAGACACATCATACTAGCTATGTGACCCTGGGCAAGTCACTTAACCCTGATTGCCCTGCCAAAAAAAAAATCAGGAAGTAAGCAAAAAAACCCCCAAAACCCTTAAACAGCTAACATAAAAGTAACAAAGTTCTATCATTAAGATTAATCCACTTTATTCTTGAGACAGTCCTCCAATTCTAACCCCAACTGCCTCTGACTCTATCATTTATTCCTTGTACAAAATTCTAATGTCTTCTGAATTTGTTTTCCAGTTATTGTTAATTAAACACATCAATTAAAAATTTAGAGGCACTGGTAAAGGCAGACATATTGAAAAAATGAAATATAACAAATAATACCCTAACAATGAGGAGAATAAAATAATCATATGAAAATACATCAATCTGAACTCATTTAGTGAAACAGAAAAAAGCCCTATATTTCTTAATAGTTCCACCACTGTGTTATTGTACTATATGACTGGTATTCACAATGATGACTAAAACAATTAAAAATATTAAATTATGTTCAGAATACTGTTTAATAAGAGAGAAGCTTATTATGCAGATTGGGAACATTTTCACTGAAAATAGTTTGTTAATATCATGTTGTTGTTGAGTCACTTTTCAGTCACGTCAAACTATTCATGACCCCGTTTGTGGTTTTCTTGGCAAGGATACTGGAATGGTTTGCCATTTCCTTTTCCAAAATTTACAGATGAGGAACAGAGGCAAACAGGGTTAAATGACTTGCCTATGGTCATACAGCTAGTAAGTGTCAAGGGCCAGAGTTGAACTCGTGAAAAAGAGCATTCCTGATTCCAGGCCCAGTGCTTTATCCACTGTGCCACCTAACTGCCTGTTAATATCATAAGAGCAGAAAAATTCAAAAAACAATAAAACAATATTTCAAATAGCAGGCATCAGTAAAGCCTGAATGGCTTTTTCCCCTTTCCTCCCTAACTTTCCTTCTAATCAGTGGGGAAAGGAAGTGAGCAGATTCAAATTAGTCGAAACTTTTTTTCTTAAATAAGCTTATTAAGGAAATAAGGGAAGAAAGTGGCTATGAACTGTGATTACATTTGTAGCTGCAGATTAAGTCTTGATCTGGTCTGTGCTTTCCACTTCTTACAGTATCTCTCCTATCCTTCCCTCACGTGCCCACTCTCATGTCTCCACTTATGCAGTTGCTCCACAAAAGAAATTTCAGTTCACTCTTTCAATTCCTCTACTTGTGGTAACATGGATTGGCATACTCACTCTGCTCCCTGGAGGCATAAGCCATGTTTTTCTCCTTCTCCATTTCAACAACATGGAAAAAGTCTCAGTGGAAGACTCTTTAAGAGAAAAGGAAAATGTAAACTCCAGAATTCTAGGAAATGTATGTCCACACACATTTCCCATTTAACTGAAGTCTCTATGATTTGCTGTCCCCAAAACTTTTATAATTCCTGAGAAGTCTTAGGTGACAATGTCTACACATGAACATATTCACACTGGCTTTTACCATACACAATTAACTATCACCAACTACAAGGTGGTCACAGATTATTAGAAAAGAGGAAGAAGATACAGGATGTGAAGTTAGATCAAGAATATCTTCTCTTGAGACAAGCTGCTCAATTGATTAGTTAATCATTGTTTTCATTGATGTCATTGGACCATATACCATGTACCCTTTTCTCTATTCTAGAGGTCAAAGGAAACACACTGGGGTGGATGTGACGTGCAAAGATGGATCAGTTGTGTATGCCCCTTTCGATGGAACAATTGTGAGGCAGGCAAAACCTTATAAAACAAATAATGCTATTAATAATGGTGTTGAGATAACTGCAACAGGTAAGTGAACTACAGCAAAGACTTTGAGTATTATTTTCCTTTAGGTGACTGAGGATGTTGCTGAAAGGGGAATTAAAGCTGCTTTGTTTCCCTCTATAAGACAAAACTAGGATCAATGAACAGAAATTAAAGAAGGGCAGATTTTGACTCCATAAAAAGAAATTCACTAATCTTGGCCTCAAAGTTGAATAGGCTCTTTTGGATAGCAGTGAATTCCTTTTCAGAAGAGGTCTTTAAACAGAGGCTGTATGAATATTTTTGAAAGATGTTATTAAAAGAATTCCTTTTCAGATATAGTTTGGGCCAGATTTCCTGAAGTCTTTACCCACTATAACATTCTATGATTCTATTTCTTTCATGGAGAATGTCATGTTTAAAGAATTGCACCTGGACCAAATACTTTTGCAGTTTAGCAGATGGTGTTTGAGAGCTTTGCCAAAAACTTCACCTTACAGCCAATCTAGTGATGAGTCACTCTATACTTAACTAGGCTAAGCTTTAGAAAACAGAAAGTCAGTCACTAAGTCTGTATTTGAAGTCTGTACAGCTTGATGATATCTGCTGGAACTGGTCACAGGATTAAAGGATCATTGATTAAAAGCTGTAAAGGACTTTAAAGGTCAACAAATCTAATCCTCATCATTTTACAGATGAGCAACTGGAGGAGACCCAGAGAAGCAAAGTGATTTCCCCAAGGTTATACACACAGAAAGTATCAGAACTGAGATTTAAACCTAAGTTCTCCAACTCCACATCCCGTGCCTTCTCCACTGTATCATGCTGCCTGTCACTTGACAAATTAAGGATTCAAAGTTAAGTTGAGGATTCAAAATACCCTCCATGACATGATGAGGCATATAACCTGAACTAGCAAGGGGAGCCAGGGCTTCACTCCAGGAATAAGCATGCATAGAAGTTTGTTTCCTCCATTTTAATAGAAGACTGTCCCTCTCATCCCCCAGGATCCTATAGACATAACTCCTATCTTTAAGCCCATTTTTTCACTGAGATGGATTGCCCTTGACATTCTGCTTGGCTTCAAGAACCATACCACATCATTGATCAAACAGTAAACAAGTATTTATGAAGTTATTACTCTTTTTGAGGTACTATGCTTGAGATTAGTAAACAAATAGTTGCAAATAGTGATAGCTGTGCCACCCTTTTTTCTTCTATTACAATTTTCCCCCTCCATCCCCATTCCCATCAATGTCCTCTAGAATTCTCATTTATTATTATTATTTTTAACAAATTTCCTTTCAACCTGATCCTTTTCCTTTGCTTCAGTGACTTGGTGCTCACTGAAATTGAACTTTCTTCTGCAGATACCACATTTCTTGCCACCCTCTCCAGTCAATACTGTTTACTGTACTCCAGTCAGTGTTGCCCCTTCTCTCTCACCCCCACCCCTCAATCATTACAATATTGTGAAGGAAAACAACCATGACTTAAGAACTATGAGAAATGCAATGACTAATCATTTTGCAAAAGACTAAAGAGGAATCATTAACTAGATACCAGAAGGAGAAGTAGGCATACTTCTTGCTCCTCACTGCTACTTTCATACCCTCCTTACACCATTATCACTCAATAACCACCTTCCTTCCTTCAAAGTTCCCTCCATCCTATCCAGATCTTTGTTTATATCATCTGTGGACCCCCAAGTCAATTTTTTTTCTCCTACAATAAATTCAGTACCACGCTCACAGATTTATTCTCTCTCCTAGCACTTTTTTTGGAAATCTTGACTTCCTACTTCCTCAACCTACTTAAGTCCCAAGACCTCTAACTCCAAGGTATTGTTAGCATGTATGGCAGTGTGCCCCAACCACCAACAGTGCCACCATTCAGATGAATTTGTTGCAGCCACTCAAATTACTAGTTTCTGCTCTGAGGCATCTGACTGGGATGTCAGTGGAAGAGAATTTCAATCTTTTGATTTTATTTTAATATTTCTTCTTGCCTCATAGAATTCCATTTGCCCCATTCTATTTGCCATTACTTAGGGGACTCCACTACTTAGAGGAAAGGTTTCCACCTTATGTTCTAAATTATTTGTCTTCCCTCCAATTTTTTTTCCTCCAAATCTTGTTTCATTTTAATATTTTCTTAACTTCTCTAGCCACTCTTGGAGCCCTTGTTATTTAGTCATTCCACCTGTGGCTTTGCTTATGCTTTTTGCACACTTGCTCTCTTCTCTGTTTACATCTTGGTTTTCTCTTGATGCATAATATTTCTTCCTGATGTTCCATGTATTCTTCTGTTTATCACTATCTCTAGCCTTAGTTACTGATCTGTGACTTTGTGCTAGGGCCAGACTCTGACCCTCTCATACTCAGCCAAATCATAGATGGATTGATCAGGCCATGCTTGGTCCTATCTCCTCTGAAGTATGGATACTACTATAGTTCTGTTGGTGAGAAGTAGGCCCTGCTCTCTGCTGGAATCCCTGGCTCCTGGATTGATCTTCCAGTATTCTACTTTTATTTTGCCCTAAGCCCTTCTCTGTCCCTCTTCTCATTCCATAATGGAATGTGGCCACTTTCCATATAATGTCCCGGATGTATCCCAAACAGATATGGCAGATTAAATTGACCTGAGTTTTTCCTGCATGGCCCCTTATTGCTGCAGTTGGTTCAGGGGCTGGGGTGACTCTCTCTCCCATGAGTTTAGCTTAGGTTGTCTTGGTGCTGTTCTGAATTTTCTTCTGTTATGCCTTTAGCATGGGCTGCTCAGATAGTGCAGCTCTGATCTCTGCCTTCAGGCCTCTTTGTGGCTTTCCTTCCCCTCTCACCCTCCCATTCCCCTAGTAACTGTTGCCCTTTCTGTCCTTCAGTGGTCCCATATCCTGCTATGGTTCATGCGCAGGCTGTCTGTGGTGCTGCCATGGCTTTGTCTTCTGCTGTAGCTCTACCACAAGTTGCTGAGGTGATGACTTTAAGGCTCTTGAAAGTATGCAGAAACTCCCCATGAATAGAACATGGGGGCTAGCTTTCTTCTCTGATGTTCAAAAAGTCAGGGTCAAGATCTTGCTGACTTTAGGCCGTAGATGGTGGTACTGGCTTCCTCCTCCCTTAAATTGTATCCACCCAAGAATGCCCACAGATTCCTCTCATTCTTTTTGCATAGTCATGGGTTCAATGGAGGAGTTAATTGTTCCTTTTCTATAATTTTTTAATTAATAATATATTCTGGCGCATGTTTTTTAGAACTATGTTAAAGGGTTTTAGGGAAAGCTAAATTCCAAGAAAATCCCAAATGGGGTTATGAAGAGTCAGATGCAACTGAAATGACTGAACAAATTCCTCTAGTACCTTTCTCACCCTTACCTTAACTAGAAGACCGTGTGACCTGTTCTTGATAAAGCCATGCCAACTCTTTGCAATCACTGCTTCTTCTAGATGTTCACTAATCAACCTTTAGCAATATTCTAACAATATTTTCAGGAGCCTAAGCCAAGATCATGTGCTTATAGTTTATATTATTATCTTCTTCCTTTTTTTTTTTTTGAAAATCATAGCAACATTTGCCCAATCCTGTGATACCTCTCCCATTTTCTATTAGCTTTCAAAAATTCCCATCCACAAGGTCATGGGATAGTCACAGTGTAATTACAATCAGCTCAATCTCCTATACCACTCTCTGAATATATACAACTACCAAGAGTACAATAAAAAATAACATTCAGAATGATGGTATTGATTCACTCTACCTTCAGTATGAAGTTATTTTCCATGGAAGCCAAGTACATATTAATTTATTCTAGAAAGACCTAAGAACAAAATCTCAAACAAAAAAACCCAAAAGTTAAACCTTAAACAACCAGATAAATTAACTAGTCGATTAAACAGATATCCTCTTACTGAAACACTTCATTGAAATGAGGTTCAGATATATCTAGAAGGTTCCTGAATTTCAGTCTTGGAACAGAACTCAGGTGTATGCTGGGCAATAATAGAATGAATGAGCAATTTTACTCCCTCCCACCTTTTTTTTTTTAGGTTATTGTGTTAAAATATTCTACATCAAGCCTATTGAATTAAAGGGTCCTATCAAGAAGGGAGACAAACTTGGAATTCTGTTACCCATGCAGAAAGTTTATCCTGGAATAACATCACATTTGCATATTCAGAATTGTGACTTGAGTGATCCTACTTCATATCTATGAATAAAAAGATGACAACTTACACTTTCACTTTTTAAAAATGACCTTAAAATTGCAATCTGATTATCATTTTATTGTATTCTTTAATCTCTTTGCCTCAAATTATATTTCTGATGCCTATTTTTCCAACAGATACCTGAAATAAACAAAGTCAATGCAGTTGGTTTGGTGTGGATATTTATCAACTCCACAAAAGGACTTTCATCAGGACTTTATTTGTTTATTTTAAAAAGTATTAGATCCCTTTGTTTTATATTCTTTCCCAACCCCAAGTGTCATTCCTCACTACATGAATGTCCACACATAACATTACTCCTACCCCCTTCCCAATGTATTTATCCAAAGGAAAGAAAATCAAAAATCCTTTTGATAAAATCCTTGGATTGTAACAATTTTAATTAACAGCAAGCAGAAACCAAACAAAAACGCAAGATGATTGACTGACCAATGACTCTCTTGGTTTCTTTAATAGGAGACAAATAAGTAACAAATAAACTATTATTTATTGAAGCCTTTCTATAAGGTATATGAATGCCTTACTTTTGGACCAGATCATCGGTTTTCTACTTCTTTGATAGAATTTAGTTCCCTACCTCTATAGTTATTTGTAAAAAAAAAAAATAGATTTTAAGCAAAGTTCTTTGCATCTTTGAGAGTTTAATTTGACCATGCTACTAAGCTGCACTGTAAATTTCTTATTTGTTATATATGTATACATATATATATATATACATATAATTTCTATCTTTACTACTAGATTGTCAGTTTAAGAACAGAAAGAAAGTTTTCTATTTTTTAAAATACTCCCGCGGTCAAGTGGATGTCTCTCTATAGAGTAAAAATCCCATAAACTTTGATGACTAATGACAATAGTAGTTGCTTAATTTTGTGCTCTTATAAAACGGAATTCTATATATTTTTTTAATTGACAGGGTTTTTTTTTTATTTATTTGTATAGTTAGTATCTTAACACTATGCCAAATAACAGTGGAGATAATGGGCTTCCTAGCCAAACCATGCTCCTCCCCCGCCCAGATCATTGCCTTGTCATGGAGGAGGGCTTGTGTAGTTCAATGAAACTATGAGCTATGCTGCGCCGGGTTACCCAAGATAGACATACAGGTCATAGTGGAGAGTTCTGGCAAAAAGCGATCCACTGGAGAGGGAAATGGTAAACCACTACTGTGTCTTTGCCAAGAAAAATCCATAAACTATATTAAAATGGTAAAAAGATATGACATTGGAAGATAAGCCCCTCAGCTTAGAAGGTGTCCAACACACTACTGGGGAAGATCAGAGGACAATTACAAGTATCTCTAACACTAATAAAGCAGTTGGGTCAAATTTCAGCTGCAGATACATCTGATGACCAAAGATAAAAAATAAAAAATAGATCAGTATTGCATAGGAATCTGGAATGTAAGACCTATGAACCAAGATAAGTTGGATGTAGTCAAACAGGAGATAGAAAGTTTAAACATTGACATCTTGAGTATCAATGAACTTAAATGGGTGGGAATGAGTGTACTTAATTCAGATGATCATTACTTATACTACTGTGGGCCAAAATCCCTTAGAAAAAATGGAATAGCTCTCATAGTAAATAAAAGGGTGAGAAAAGCAGTATTGGGGTATAATCTCAAAAGTGACAGAATGATACCTGTTTGAATCCGAGGAAAACCACTCATTATCACAGTAGTACAAATCTATGCTCCAACTACTATTGGCAAAGAACCAAAGTTGGTCAGTCTATGAAGACCTACAATATCTTCTAGAAAAAATGCCCCCCCCAAAAAAGACATCACATTCATCATAGGGGATTGAAATGCTAGGCAATTAAAAGATAATTGGAAGAACAGGCAAGTTTGACCTCAGAGTACAAAATGAAGTAGGGCAGAGACTAACAGAGTTTTGTTAAGATAACTCACTGGTCATAGCAAACACTTTTTCAACAACCCAAAAGGTAACTCTACACATGGATATCATCAGATGGACAACGTTGAAATCAGATTGATTACATCCAAAGGTGGAGAACCTCTATATGGTCAGTTAAAATAAGACTTGGAGCTTCTGTGGCACAGATCATGAGCTTCTTCTTGCAAAATTCAGACATAAATTGAAGGAAGTAAGGAAACCATCAGACTGTATAGGTATGACCTAAGTAACATCCTCTACAAACATGAAATGGAAGTGAGGAATAGATTTAAGGGATTAGATCTGGTAGATAGAGTGCCTGAATAACTATGGACAGAGGTTTGCAATATTGAAGAGAAGACAGCGACAAAAAAAATCCCAAGGAAAAAGAAGAACAAGAAAGCAAAATAGCTTTCTGATGAGGCTTTACTAATAGCAAAGGCAAGAAGGAAAGTATAAGGGAAAGGAGAAATGAAAAGATATACCCAGCAGAATGCAGAATTCCAGAGAATAGCAAGGAGAGATAAGAAAGCTTTCTTAAATGAGCAATACAAGAAAAAAAATAGAAGAAAATTACAGAATGAGAAAGTCAAGAGATCTCTTAAAGAAAATTAAATATATCAAAGGAATATTTTATGCAAAGATAGGTATGATAAAAGACAAAAAAAGGGACTTAACTAAAGCATAAGGAATTAAGATGTGGTGGTAAGAATATGTAGTACTATACAAGAAAGATTTTTACATCACTGACAACCACGATGATATGCTCACTGATCTAGAGCCAGACATCCTGGAGAATGAAATGAAGTGAGCCTTAAGAAGCATTGTTAATAATAAGGCTAGTGGAAGTGATGGAAATTCCAGCTGAGCTACACAAAATTCTAAAAGATGATGCTATTAAAGTGTTGCACTCAATATGCCAGCAAGTTTGGAAAACTCAACAGTGGCTAATGGATTAGAAAAGGTCAGTTTATGTCCCAATCTTAAAGACTGGAAATGCAAGAGAATGTTCAAATTACCAAACAATTGTGCTCATTTCACTCACTAGCACAGTTCTGAAAGCTAGACTTCATCAATATTTGAACTGAGAATTACCAAAAGAGCAGGCTGGTTTTCAAAGAGGTAGAAGAATTAAAGACCAAATTGCCAACATTTGTTGGATTATGGACCAAGCAAGGAGGTTCCAGAAAAACATCTACTTTTGCTTCATTGACTACACTAAAACCTTTGGCTATGTGGTTCACAACAAAATTCGGCAAGTACTCAAAGAAACGGGAGTAACATATCATCTTACCTGTCTGCTAAGCAACCTGTACTCAGATCAAGAAGCAACAGAATCAAACATGGAACAACTGATTGGTTTAAATTGGAAAAGGAGTACCACAAGGCTTTATGTTGTCACCTTACTTATTGTACTATTCAGAGTACATCAAGCGAAATGCCAGGCTGGATGAATCAAAAGCCAGAATTAAGGTTGCCAGGAGAAATATCAAGAATCTCAGATAAGCAGATGATATCACTCTGATGACACTAAGAGAAGAATAAAGAAGGTTCTTGATAAGGGTGAAAGAGGAGAGTGTAAAAGATGACTTGAAGCTTAACATAAAAAAAAAATCAAAACCTAAGATCTTGGCAACCAATACCACCACTTACTGGCAAATAGAGGTAGAAGTCATGGAAGCAGTATTGATTTTATATTCTTAGGCTCAAAGATCACTACAAAAATGGTGACCAGTCATGAAATTAAAAGACTTTTGTTGCTTGGAAGGAAGGCTATGGCAAATCTGGACAGCATACTAAAAAGCAGAGACATTGCTTTACCCACAAAGGTCTGTATGTCAAAGCTATGTTTTTTCCCAGTAGCAATGTATGGCTGTGAGAGTTGGACTTAAGGAGATTGCCATGGAATTGACACTTTCAAGTTGGGGTGATGGAGAAGACTTTTGAGAGTCCCTTGAACAGCAAGGAGATCAAATCAGTCAATACTTAAAAAGAAATTAATTCAGACTATTCATTGGAAGGTCAAATACTGAAACTGATTCATTAGAAGAGATCTCGATGTCAGCAAAGATTGAAGGGAAAAAGAGAAGGGGACAGCAGAGGATAAGACAGGTAGATGGTGTCATGAAAGCAAGAACATGAGCTTGGAGAGAGTGGAGGATAGAAGGGCTTGGAATGCTATGGTCCATGGACTCACAAAGAATTCTATGGGATTGAACAGGTGAACAACAACAATAAAGCCATACCCCAGGTCTCATTAGGAAAGCTTCTAGTGCTTCTCTATTACAAATAATGCTTGTTATTCAATTTAGGTAGGCTCTTTTGATCTTATTAAGTAATAGTTATTTTTCCTATGCCTTTTGGTATTTTAATACATTTTGGTAATTTATTACATCAAAGGTTTTTTTGGTATCTATTGATATAATCATGTGATTATTACTAGTATGCTTTAATATACTTACATTTTAAGTTCAAGACAACTCTTTAACACTATAAATTACAGAGAAAATGCCAACAAATTTCAAATGATTTAGGAAGTACCTTACCAGAAGCTCCAAATATCACTGAAATAATAGGTCTGGTTAAAATATATGCTTGTATGAATTTTATATAAACATATAATATATATGTATGTGTATACATATATAAGTAATATTGAATCATTCCTGCATTCCTAGCATAAATCCAACACGATAGAAGTGAATAATTTGTTGAATATATTTCTATAGCCTCATGGCTAATTTTTTTATTTAATATTTTTGACGTCAGTGTACATTAGTAATATTACTCTATAATTTTTTTCTTTCTTTGACTTTCTCTGGTTTGGGTATCAGGTATATCTATCTCAAAAGAGGAGTTCAGTGCTCTTTTTATTATTTTTTGTTGTTCATGAAGGATAAGGGCTAATTGTTTTAAGTATATATTTGATAGAATTCACTTTCAGCTCACTTTCCACTGAGCCACCTACCTACCTCCAAGTAATTTGCCTAGACTCAACAATTAGTAAAATTTTTTACCTTTTCCCCCACAACCTTTCACCTTCTCAATCAATTACCATATTCAATGACTCAGAGACATACTTTTAAAGCAGGACCCTCTCAAGAAACTGTGGTGGCCAAAGGTCCCAGAGTATAGACACTAAAACCAAAAGTAAAAGGTAATGCCTCCTCCCCCTTCCCTTCCTCCCTGCCATCAGAGCAGGGATCCCAAAAGCAAAAAGGCTCGGTAGAACCATGATGCATACTT